TTTCCATGACAAATCATAATGACTACATCTGTTTTTCTTTTCTTTTCTTTTTTTTTAATAAACGTATACTAAAAGTAGTTATGCTTCTTTTTGGAGATTGAAAGACTCGCATCCTTTAGCATTCTACAGCAGAAAGAAAGGTTAAAGTCTTTGCCCAAAGCATATAGTGTGACAGAGACCTGAGAAGTGTTTAGAATGCACACTGAGCAAAGAATAAAATACAAATACTATTCAATACAAATACTGTTTGACTTACCATATTTACAGCGGTACTGACATACACCATCCCGACCTCCCATCAGCTCCAGTATGGAGTCAAAATAACCATTCACTGCCTGGAAACCCCCTCTGATAGAACCGAAACCCCAGTCCAACTCTTCATCAGATTCTTGAGTGGAACTCTGGGTCTCTGCAGGTTTTCCCTCGACAGGGACATCTGCCATCAAGATGTTTTCTGCCTGGTTCTCCCCATTAGCAGGAACATCTGGGGTTTCACCAGCCTGCGCTTCAGGTAAAACAGAGCCGTCAGCTGGAGAATCCACCGCAGCTGCATCAACAGAAGCCTGGATAAGGGTGGCAGCCAAGCCTGTGGAGATACATAGCAGGAGCAGCGCCAACGCACGTGGAAACATGATGTGGCCCTGGGTCCTATGAGGTCTGTAGGGTCCAAGAAGAAGCGGAGACCGATAAAGCCAAAGGGCTTAGAAGGAAAAGAGTGAGCAGCACAAACAGACTCTGTTGATAGTGCCTCGTGGAAGGGACTTTGATCTGTGATTAGATCAAGCAGACAGCAAGGCATTGATTGGTGCTAAGGTTAAAGGTAAGGTCCAATCTCTTGCTGAGACTTGCTCTCTCAGTGAATCACAGTCACACTCACCCTTTGTAATCAACTTTTTTGCTTTGATTATCTGCAGTTCACACTTTGCCTGGAAAAGAGTCTCCTCTCTCACACAATCATTTTATCTAGAGTTATTGTATTTCAACTGATTTTGCCATTGACAGACTGTTGGTATTTCAAAGGCCTATGTCGTGCTCAGCTGTTTGGTTATATGAAATTTGTATGAGCCATAGTGATTGCATGTATGATGTAATGCTGGATTGCAAGGCTAAGATAATATTTATGGGTCAATAACATGGCGTTTATTTTCTTTGCCCTGTGTACTCATATAATAGTATTAATATATTTTATAATGAAATACAGTGCAGAGACCTGAATCGCTTTTGTGGTGAACATGTTTTTAATTTCTAAATTAAAATTAATTTTGATATTTTTGGGAAGCATAAAGTCAGAAATATCAGTTAGCTTAGTCAGAAATGACATACAGTAGCACACTAAGTCACACAGAGTTTAATGAATTATCTTCGAAAATATGAGGTTGTAAGGATTTGATGATTTAGATTTAGAACACCAGGTTTGTAAATTATGAATTTTTGACTGACAATTATTAATATTACATCTCTTCAGTAAGCACTCATGCTGTATAGTTGTTAAAGAGGTGTGCCTGCTGCTGATGTGCAGCTGTTCACACACTTTCTTAACAAATGGACTGCAATGTCACTTATTTCAAACGTGCTCCGTGTAGGAACATGTTTTGGCTGATACAGATGGGGCAGATGTTGTTTAGGTATCAGCTTTCACATCTACCATTAGTGTTTTTTGGGCCGTGCTGGTACAGTATGATCGAAGTGATGATGAATTAAACTTTTAATCAAACAAACGTATTATTCTTATTATTATTGCTGTTGTTTTCCCACGACGTGCTACTTTTTAATGTTTAAAGACAGCGAAGATTGCTCGTGATCTGTAGCGCCCCTGTCTGTACGCAGAGTATAGCCTGATGCCCAGACATCAAACAACATTTCGATATGAATTCTGCAACGCCATTTCTAAATGTCTGTAATCATGCGTGTCATGGATATCAATTAATACAATTAATATTTCACCCCAAAATATATTTTTATTTAATAATACTGCACTGATTAATACCTGCAAGTAGCCTAGAGTGAAAAAGATGTAAATGAATGAACTGCAACGCGTACCTTTTAAAACGTTTTAATCAAAAGAAGCATTCAATTTGCATCATTGGTCCTGCACTGAATTCATAAATGAATATCCATACAGAACAAAAGAAAATTGAAATCCTAGTCCTAGTAGCTTACATTTCATGAAGTGCAACTAGAGGGCAGCAGAAGGCTGTTACAGTTTATTTCAAAATATTCAAAAATATATGAGCCATTCCTCGAATTTGGTAATATTTCAACTTGGAATTTTCTAAATACCCATCATTAGACATCAGTATGGCATTATACATTTTAATTTTCAATATTGTTTCACTCTCATATTGTGCCCTTCTTTCTGGGTCAACATACCTGCATGCCCAACACTCTTTCTGCTGCTGATGTGGGTGCCATTTCTGACATAGGATGCATGTCAGAGTTTAAGTGGACCCATTACATCAAATATTCTATTTATAACAACATTTTGAGTTGTCATGATTCATGATTTTGGTAAGCATATATTTACTGAAACCATGA